GCTACATTCCCATGGTCATTGTCCACTCACCAGTATGTAGATACTAGTCAATGTGCGTCTTTATAGTTGGTCTTATAATCCTAATTAGTTTATTATCATACTTGTATGCATTTTGGAACTAAGTAAAAAGCAGACGATCTGCTGATACTTATAGTGAATTTATAACAGAACTGTAATATCTAGACATTTTATAGTTTGCCAATGTGAATCATAATTCGCACACACACCCTAGTGCATGTTGTCTGACTCATTACACTTCACGGCGAAAACAATGATTCTGTTGAATGCTACGACAAATGAATAAAATCAAAATGCAAATATTAAAATTAAAACAGATTAAAGTAAAAGGAACAATATCAGGCCATTACCTTGTTTGAGGAATGTATCCATCAATATCCACAAAACTGTTCCAAATGATGTGTCTTTTAACAGTTTAATATACGAAAAAGTGATAAATCTTTTCAGGTATTGGTGTATAGTCTCATTGGTCACCCAAGATAGCACACCTGGCAACTAACTGCATAATGTCAGCCTTTCTTTAAAAACAGTAATTTAGTTAGCCAATAATGGGCAATCAATCAATGTATTGCCGGTGAATCCTTTGAAAGAAGGACGTTGTTTTTACGCAGACACCGACACGACAGAGTGTATTCAGTATAGATTAGTAAATCTACATACATAAACACTAGCTTTTGACAATTCCGCTGTGTAAGATAAAAGTAATTAATCAATCAGCGTGTTATCGGTTAATCCTTTGATCGATGTTTGTAATGTTGAATATTTACTCCAGACACAAGAAATGCCAAATGGGAACCTTTGTCGGGTAATCTAAGTGTGTTACCACTAATTATACCTGTTATAAATTCATTAACTGACCATCAAGTGAATGATGACAAATAACATGTGTAGGTTTATACCACCTGACACGGGTTACAACAAGGGAGTATTAATTGCTGTATTGCATGTGAAAACTTATGGGCCGACACTGTTTTGAGAATACAAACAGATTTTTACATGACATGATTAAATATCGAGGTAAAAAAACACAGAAATGGGATCAATTTGGATCAGTCATTATACAAATAGGGCCTAACGACACCAATCGATTTTGACAGAATCGTCTATGAAAACAAGTTGTAACTCGGAAACTAGGCAAAGCAGGAGACAAAACTAAATGACAGTAGATTGTGAGAACATATAGCTTTTATTTTCCACAACAATTGTCACGATTTCAGGTTTATACAAGCCTGTAAACAAGATAATTTACCCCCTAAAATGTAGATGAATTCTGCATCGGCCCTCAAAGCTATTCCTCATATGACGTCATAGAGGCGCGCCGCTCTGATTGGTTGAAATTTCGTTCGCGGGTGAGAATTGTGCACTGTTGTCAAAAAGGTCGATTTAAGTCAATTAAAGGTCGAAATGAGTAGTTTTAATGACGGGGTTTCATTTATAACGATGCCAGTTAGTGATTTATGTATTTGTACCCCCTAGGGTTTATGTGACCTTTAATGGAAACCATTTATTCAATTAATGTATTCTCCCATTTCATAATATATACCACCATGACACACTTATGTACGTAGTAATAATAGTACCCAGATAAGGTTAATGTGACTATCATATAGTCGTGCACAGGTGTGTAAATCAGGCCTACCAGTACAGTAAGAATTAACACACTGACACTCGTGTCTGGGTAAATAAATGACAAAGGACATAAAGCCAAATCTGCAGTCAATACAAACTGAATGTATTAATACAGGAATGACAAATTAGATCACAGTATACAGATAACTACATATTACAAGTGGGGTATGCAAGTGCAATATATAATGTGCACTAGTATATTTATTTTAACTTTCACATTGTTAATTACTTGCGTAGTCAATTAATCCGTCATTAACCTGCCAGAACAAAATATGCTGTTGAAATACAAACTTCCACATTATTTGTCATGCAAAAACAAGCATGAATTCTTTTTTATCTTAATTTGGAAACTAGAAGGGCCCTTGTTAGAGAACATGCCTTCCTTTCACTAATACATGTTAAGTACTACTGTGTACTTGTACTTCAATGTACTTTCACCGTACGCAGGTAGCCCTTGTGTCATACCTAACATAACGATCAAGATTCATTCAAATCCATCCTTAACTTTTTTAGATATTATTCATATTCTCCATTTATTTAACATTGCTATTATTTTCAAAGTACCTGTGTACATGTACTTTAACATAAACTCTTCAAAATAATAAATAAATAAAAAGAAACGCAAAATAAAAATTGAAAAAATGAAAGCTTGTATGCAAATGTCAAATTAAGCATGTTTTGAGGATTGAATATTGTTGTTGGTATGGTTTAGAAGAACATGCGTGAGCGAATACAGCCATAAACGATTTTGAATGGTTTTATCGATCATGATTGTCCTGATGAGCTTGACTGGTATGATACACAACCAAAAGCCGCAATCATTGCTTTTCGTGTGCAACCTATGACTATAAAAGACTCAAATGCATCTCGCACATTCATCCAAGACCCTTGCAAATACTGGATGAGAAAATGGGACGTCTCAACGGTGCCCGCCGAAATATTACAAGCTGGCGAATCCAAGAGTGTCGTGGCGAGGACCTTCAGCATTCATCCCAGCACAATAACTCGTTTGTGGGGTCGTTTTGTGTATTCCATTTCGACAAATGACCATCCAAGAGCAGGAACACCGTGAGTCACCACACATCCCAAGATCGGTACACCCGGGTAACCCACCTACGTGACTGCCATCGTTCCGCCCGGGACACAGCACAAGAACGGTTTGGAGCCCGGAGAATGTCCGACCAGTCAATCAGGAACCGTTTCCAAGAAGTAGGTATGCGTGTCAGATGTCCAGAAGTTGCCCCCTCTCTGACACGATTACATCAACGTCCGTGAGTCAGGTGGTGTAAGGCGGTGCAGCCATGGAACCTTGGAAACTGGAGGCAGTTCAGTGATGGTTCAGTGATGAATCGCGGTATCCCCTCAAGCGACGTGATGGAGGACAACGTGTCTACAGACAACGCTATGAATGTTTTGCATCCATCTGCATCAGGCAAGTGGACAGAATTGGTGCAGATGGTGTGATGATGTGGGGAGCCATCTCATACACCTGCTGATCGGAACTGTTGCTCGTCCAAGGCAATCTTACGGCCGCGAGATATACCGACCAGATTCTCTGTCCTCACGTGCATCGCCTTGTCGTCCGCCAAAGGGAGCTGTACCAACAGGACAACGCAGGACCTCACACAGCACATGCTACAGTGGACTAACTGGACAATAACAACATCGATGTCCTCCCCTGGCCCTCCAGATCCCCGGATCTGAAACCTATTGATTACCTGTGGGATCAGAGAGATAAACGTGTACGTCAACGTCGTAATCCGTCATTGAGGCTTTAACAGTAACTGTTGTTCAACATGCTGCAGGAGGAATGGAGAAGGATTCCACAACGAAACATCCAACAACTGATTCAATCTGTGTGAAGGAGGTGTCGTGCAGTTCTAGCAGTAAGAGGTGGCCATCCAAGGCAGTAACGTCAACATCACCTCGTGGACAGCAGTAATGACTATGATGACTATCATTCTTGCGAAATGTGCACGAGATACCAATGTATTGCTCTACATAATTTCAATGCTGTACCGTTTATTTTCGTTGATTTACATAATTGAATAAGACAAAAAAATTCAATGATATTTTGCTTTGCGTTTCTTTTTTTTGAAGAGTGTACTTTTTCAACATCTAATTGATTTGTCCTGGGGACAAACTCAAGAGATCCAGAAAGTTTCATTGAAATCCATCTAGTAGTATTTGATGAGTAAAGATGCTAACACATAAATACACACACACACACACACACAAACAAACAGGGTTGAATACATACCCTCTGCAACAAACCTTCAGTTTCAGAAGCAATTATGATCATATAGTGATTATTATGCATACATATATTATTGACATTCATGATATATAATGGTAGTTGTAAAACACACATCACAAGGTACATTTAGACATACCACATGCCTATGTTGTGATAGGTTTATAAACACATGTTTTTCTCACATTGGTGTTCCAGCTCGATTATGGGTACCAATGTACAGTTACGCTGAAGGGGTCGTTGTCGGCACGGGTACTACAGATATGTACCCCAGGTACGTTTCTGTATGCAGTTGAATGGGAACAACTACATCCTACAGTTTCGGTTTTAGATCACGGAATATGGACTCGTCCGGCTTTAAGGGTACCGGGTACGTTTCTGTATTTTGACTTTGTTTGGGGTACATATCTGTATACAGAAACGTACCTGGGGTACGTATAGATCTGTAGTACCTGTGCCGACAACGATCCCTTCAGCTTCAGTTACGCTGAAGGGATCGTTGTCGGCACAGGTACTACAGATATGTACCCCAGGTACGTTTCTGTATACAGACATGTACCCTTAACAAATTCAAACTACAAAAACGTACCCGGTACCCTAAACGACGGACGAGTCCATATTCCGCAACCCAATACCGAAACCGTATGTAGTTATTCCCGTTAAGCTGATTGTGAGTGGTGTACGTTATGCACCGCGAAATATTCGTTAATGTGTATGCTCTAATATAACGCAATCAAATGCATCTAATACAACAGTATGACAGTTTCGATCAAGAAAACTACACAATGCAAAATGGAATCTTCCTAGGGTACGTGTCTGTATTCTGATTTTGTTTAGGGTACATGTCGGTATACAGAAACGCACCTGCATGGGGTACATATCTGTAGTTACCCGTGCCGACAACGACCCCTTCAGCTTCAGTTAGCCCGGAATGACACTCATAATCATCAGAAAAAATGGAACCATGTTTTTTCTGAATCCATATGCAATACTGATCACAATTATCAGTGGCTCCAAAAATTAACATGCACTTCCCACTGAAAGCATTTTTGCTACATAAGCCCTGTAGCTTTTCTCGTTTCAGGCAAAGTGTGAGAGCCTCGTTTTCGCATACCGGTAGTACCATGTGACTGTATTACAACATGGCTTCCGAAAGAGACGAGTCGAGAGAGGTGATATTGAAGTTATTTAAAGTTGTTTTTGTTTTCTTATTGTTATTTTGACCGACCGTAGCTCCTTCATAATATCATCACTTTATTCTTACCGGTATATTAATGTCAGTTTTAAAGAAACCTTACATAACTGTGATCTTCTATTGCCGTCAGTATGTTCTGGACTACGAACAATGTTGTACCTGACGTCAAACCCATATGATTTAGATACACGTTTTATTTTAAATAACTCATTTAGATACTTTTGGGTGTCTGTCAGAGAGTTAACTGAAAGCGAGTAGAAATCATTAAAAAATACTTCGGAGTCACGAGTTCTACACCAGGGAACACGATATTGTCATTTATGTTCACATGCCACATATTCTGATACCTTGCATTTCAGTATCATGTGGGTAATGCTGGGTTATAAGCATGATAAATGTAGTTCTTTTCGAGCCAGATTCTTGTTTACAACCTTTCATGCGACATAGAAAGAAAACCCAATTAAAGGTGGTGTGAGAAAAGGCCAGCCTGCACTAGCCCTGGCTCAGCTACCCCCAGTGTAACATAATTCAAATAGCATAATTAGTCAGTTCTCTGACCCAGGATATGTTTAAGAGATTATCATGTAATCTTTCCTTCTCATTAAAGTGGTTGTTCATTCCCTTTTCTGTTCCAAATAAATGTTTAGTGAAAAGAGTCTAAGGATCACATTTACCCACTTGTTCATAGTTATTTGTAGGTTTAAATATATCTAGGTGTATAGAATTTATGACACTGGGGATATAAAAAAATAAAGCTGCACTCCTATCATCAGTGATCTTTATACCCAGTCTGTACACTTTAATTAGGACAAAGGTGAGGTGAGGTGAAATTGGGTTTTACGTCGTGCTTGAGAATATTTTGCTCATATGATGACGTGCATGCGTGTGTATGTGTATGTGCGGCTGCTTGTACTAGCCTAGACTTAAGCTGGTTTTATAGTGCTAGCTCACTGAGATACCATGCCGCAGTTAAGCATGAATACCCCCCTTTCCACATTATACTGACTCCGAGCCGACCAGTCCTTGTTGTACCCATTAATGCTGAACGCCAGACAGAGACCAACAAGTACCATATTTTAACGTCTTTTGGTATGACGCGACTGGGGATCGAACCCGCGACCTTCCGCTCTCCGGGTGGACGCTCTAACCACTACACCACGGAGGCGGTCTGTCTCTGATAAGAAGGCAAAATATGTCTGAAAGTGTCTGTCAGAAATGTACCATATTTTCACATGGGGCTCACATTCATGTGGACACTATTGAGTACAGTCCAAATGCTCTGAATTTATCAATGAATGTTTATAAATATAACTAGTTTGGTTAAAAAGTAGTACTTGTATAAATAACTTTATCTTAGAAATTTGGAGTTGTCCTAATGGAAAGCATACATTCATGCTGGAAATTCAGTACGGTTGATATGAATTGACACTTGCAGTACTACTTTTAAATTAACAAAATATTATATTCTTGGCATGCTACCTGACCTTACCTGGTGAGATTTTGTAAAATATCACTTGACATGATGATTTAAAAGTCAGTGGTATTTGTTTACTGAAGGCCAGACAATAATTCATGCGTATATTAGGAATGTCTCGTAAAATAGCCAGACATTGTAATCAGGTGTTCACACTCTTTCTCCCTGATCTATCATTGTCTCGTCACGCCGAAGACCCGGGTTCGATTCCCCACATGGGCACAATGTGTGAAGCCCACTTCTGGTATCCCCCGCAGTGATATTGCTGGAATATTGCTAAAAGCGGCGTAAAACTAAACTCAGTCAGTCAGGCAGTCTATCATTGTCTACAGATGATTTAGTTTGAAAATACTATTCATGGCCAATATCAAAATTTATTTACTTAATACGATGGTACCTCTGAGTAATAATTGTTCCAGGAGAGTTTGTGGTGAGTTGGTGTGATAGCTGAACTGTTTGTACTGTTTGGCCAAAATTAATATATAGAATATTGAATGAAATGAGTACAAATGTAAGTTCAGATGTACAAGGAACAGTTTTAGGACCAGATAAGCAGTGATTGGGTAGTAACAGGACTGACTTGCCCACTCCAATACAGATTTTTAGACATCTTGTTTCCATGTGCTTACAGTAACATCTATGAGTTGTGACACAAAATCAAAGCTCATTGTATGTGTATTATGTACACATTGGTAGTAAAACAGTAGTCAAAGACTGTAATCCAGAGTACACCTTTGTGGTATTTTCAGACAGTTTCATGGTCACAAGCTTTGTAAACTTAGTTTTATACTGAGATTCTCAGATTGTGTCAAGAAATTCACTAGATATAGAAATAATTGGCAAGTGACCTTGAAAACACATCAGGGGCGGAAATAACCCATTGCCCGGCATCCGAGTCCAGTGGGTTTTTTTGTCGGTCAAGCACATTTGTACACCACGCTGTACCGGTGTCCAGTTGACATTCCATTGTTTATTTAAAAAATCACAGAAAATCGGCCGGTATAGCAGGAATATTATCAGGGCAAGTGATTTTACATGTGCCACTGTACCGGCGTACACTAGCAATTTTAAAATATTTCACCCCTGCACATGTGCATCTGCTGTTCTTCGTAAGCAAGTATATAGTTTTGTTTGCTTGCTCTTGGTAGTTCACACTGGATAGCATGAAGGTCAAATAAATCATTCTTGTACTCATTAAGGTTAAAAAACAATACCAAGAACCAATTTTTACTTTTTAAGTCTAATGTGTGTGTAAAATTTAGGTGGAGTAGGCTATTATATCTTTCTCTTGAAATTTCAATTCTTATGGTTAAATATATACACATTTTCTACTTTTTAAGTTACTGTTGAATATGATGGATGATGTCTGTAATTAGCAGGGTGCAACTTCCCAATGTGAAGATGGAGAGAAGGATGGTAACAATGCAGTTGTGGATGATGCAGTTGCTTCTCCTGAGATGCTAATTAAGCATCCTTTGCAGAACAGATGGTCATTGTGGTTTTTCAAGAATGACAAGAATAGAGACTGGACAGAGAATCAGCGTTGCATCACCTCCTTTGATACAGTTGAGGACTTTTGGGGGTAAATATTGTTATGTGTATGATGTATACTTGAATGAGATGTATACTTATGTATGTTGATTAGTATTATTAGGTGCAGTTAGACTTGGCTTGAAGTAAGGGGAATTCAGATGAGTGAATTGCTTGTTACTTAATTGAGTGTAGAGCTTGTGAGTACAGTCATCCCTCACCATAACGCGGGTCTTGGGGTCCATGGATGACCCTCACGTTATGAGACACCCGCATTATACTAAACATGGAATAAAGGCCAAGTAAAATCATATTTTCCATGTGCATAGCACAACTGGTAAAAAAACCCTGTTATTCAACTAAGTCAGATATAGCAATCAGCTGTGTCCACATTTTAATCAAATCTACCGGTGATTCAGTTAAAAATGATGCGTAAATATAACTTTAACAAATTTCTATTCCATTATCAGAAGAATTTATATCTTAGGCAGTTATTTTAACAGAGATAATATACATTGCTATCGTATTAGTATAATGCATTTTGGCTATGTACATATTAAACATAATTATAAACACAAACTCAGCACTTTGGGTTACGTGGCTGGATACATTTTATGTATGAGACAGTTTGACTAATCACTGTTGACTTCCAGTACATGCCACATTGATCGTAAAAACTAAGTGCTGGCAATTAATTTATTAACTTTCGATGAGTCAATAACACAGATCTTGGGGTCCGTGGATGACTTGGCAGTTATCAGATCGTGATTGCTGATAATTATGTGAAATTGGTGCTGTCAGACCCTCATGAACAGGGTAAGCAGAAGTTGTAGATGTTTCTCAGATGTTTTCTAAAAGATCAAAGGCGCTGACAGTACTTTATCAGACGATACTGTATACTTTTTGTGTTACATCAAACTGTATTGACATCATTACACCATTTTAGTCTGCCCCATTTCATTTAGTCAATAACATGGGGTCTTGGAGTCCATGGGGGCTGTGGGGTAGCCTAATGGTTAAAGCGTTTGCTTGTCGTGCCGAAGACCTGGGTTTGATTCCCCACATGGTTACAATGTGTGAAGCCCTTTTCTGGTGTCCCCTGCTGTGATATTGCTGGAATATTGCTAAAAGTGGCATAAAACTAGACTCACTCAGTGGCATTAGCCAACTCTTTGAACGAGTCCCGCTCCCGTAAAACTAAACTCACTTACTCACTCACTCACTTGGGAGTCCATGGGTGACAAGGCGGTACTAAGGTCGTGATTGCTGAGAATAATGTGAAATTGGTGCTATCACAGTTTGAGCGAAAAGCGGATCCTCATGAACATGGTAGGCAGAAGTTGAATCTGTATACATGTTTATGTGAACAGTTTTAATGAATAAAAATGGGACTAAAATAAAACCAATGAAATGAAATCTGGGAGGATTGTTTTATTATGGGTTTTCTGAAACCACATGTTTAAGGATGGCGGTGTTTAATCGCACTTGCATGTCGATGTATGGCATGTTTTTTATGATAAAGTTGACTTTTATAAGTTAAAGTACTGTCGGAAATAGAAAAAAACTGTTTTTAGGCTGTTAATCTGTATCCCTAAAATTTACACAACTGCAGGTATCGTATATAATGAAGCTAAGACTAATTTCAAAATGGGCATTTAAAAAGTGTCTTTGTAATACAATATCATCATACTGTAATAAGGGATCTGAGCTTAGGTTGGCCAAGAGTGAAAGCTCTTTGTCTAATTGAAGAAATATCCATGCGAGTGGTTTTGTGTCAGTAGCATCAGTAAACAGTTACTGCACTGATGGTAATGCATATGTGTTCTCTTTATATTCATATAAGACATGATTATGAATCTTTTTGCTGTGATAATTGTTCTTGCTTACAACCATAAAACGTAAAAGGGATTAAAGAATGTGGAAACTGCAGATAATTGCAAGTGAAAATATACCTTAACCAAAGGTCAACCAATCTTCCTCAAATGAAGTCCTTTAAAGTTCTTTTGAAGTTGGAAGAACATAAAATATTGAAGAATCCTGCCAAGACACATCACAACTTCACCCATGATGAGACCAGGGTGCCGTTCCACTAACCGATCTTATCTAAGATCAATCTTAGCACGTTACGCCAATTTTACAATCATCTTAGCTAAAAGTTACACCCGTTCCACTAACCAATCTTAGGCCGATCGTAGCCGGTCCCGATCTTACGATCCGATCAAAGCTTAGATCGAGACTCTTTCGTGCGAGAGATACAGGAATGCAAGACACGAGTTATCTCCCTTTGCATAGTCTAGCAAATGATGGAAGTAGTTTACGAACCAACTGAGTGAGTGAGTGAGTTTAGATTTACGCCGCACTCAGCAACAGTCCAGCTATATGGCGGCGGTCTGTAAATAATCGAGTCTGGACCAGACAATCCAGTGATCAACAGCATGCGCATCGATCTGCGCAGTTGGGAACCGATGACATGTGTCAACCAAGTCAGCGAGCCTGACCACCCGATCCCGTTAGTGGCCTCTTACGACAGGCATGGGTTATTGAAGTTCAATATTCTAACCCGGGCCTTCATGGGTATTTTTCCAACCAAGTGTAAAAGTGGAGAAAAAACCTAGAGCAAAATATTAGGGTAGTGAGCACCTTGGTTTCAGGTGCAAGTGTGTGTGAACGCTGGGTATCAAGCATAATATAATAATAATACATGCATATTTATAGTGCGCCTATTCCACATCCTTGGGCATGCTCAAAGCTGTGTACAGATAATTTACGAGAATATTTACAGCCGAGATTATATGTAATATACTGAGAACAGGTTTTAAGTCTGGACTTTAAAAATGTCAATTGTGTCAGAGCTTTTAATATGTGCCTGAACCTTGTCAATCAGAATAAACAAGGCGTGGCGAGGCTATAACGTATGTGTAGAATCTGTCAGTGGTCTTGAATAACACGCGGCCTGCCTTTAGAATCCCCACCAAATATGCGCAGGTGAAATCAAACATATTTGTATCTGTTTGCTTCAGAACATTGTTCACTTCACGGCTGTCCCTATTCTTAACCATGGCGTTGCAATATTGTTGTACAAGTGTGTTATACCGACTTCGCTTCGGTTGTGTTCCCATGACGACAGTGGTCAGACTGGCCTGACATTTGTAAGGCTTCAGTGCAGTGTTTGTTTACATCACAGAAATATACAAATTCATTTCATGGGGGACTTTAGGGGACGCTCACGGTGAAATGCTCGCTCTTATTTTTCACATAGAATAGGAAAGCCACCATTTTGGTTTCTCTACGATTGATTTTAGCTATCCTAAGTTGGTCATGAGCAACTTAGACTTTGAATCTTAACTTTACGATTGACTTAGGTAAGATTGGTTAGTGGAACGGTATGCCGATCGTAACGTCACGCTAAGATTGGGATTTTAGGGGTTTACGATTGGCATAGGGCTAAGATCGGTTAGTGGAACGGCACCCAGAGTCATAGCAGAATTAAGGCACAATGAGACATCACTATTACTGAGTCTGATAAAGACGAAGCCGCTGTCATCCTGGACACTGACAAACTCATGCAGCTGCTCAACAAATCCCCAGAAGACCAAACCACATACAAAATGCTCCAAAAAGACCCCTCAGCGAAATCAGACTGCACAAGAAAACCCTCCAGGAACACCACAGTAGTAGGGAAATAAATAGCACTGTATTCAACAAACTGAACCCCATAAACTCTCAGCCCCCTTACACCAGAGCCACTGTCAAAATACACAAAGATCCAAAGTCAGAATAGTTGTATGTATGGCCTTGATGGTTGGAGTCTTTTGCTGTAGATTGCTTCTTTGAGTTTTCTGATTTTTAAGTCTTTGTGGTTGGTTGTTAGGACATACTGGATAAAGGGGTCAGTGTTTTCTCAGATACGATCTGAAAAAGTTTCCAAATTTCATCACTCCAGACGAGATGCAACCCCATAGTGTATTCTTGAAATTTGCAGATATTATCATTTTGTTTAATAACTGTTGCTAGAAATATCTCATCATGCATAGGTTTTTCAGAAACTTTCATAAACTGTTTAGAGACTTGAGAAGACACTTCAGAAACCTAGTGATAGCTTTGTCACTGTTGCTTTGTGTTGCCATTATACATACGTCTTGATAAACTTGTATCATGTCTGTTATGTGTTGATTCCCAAGTAGAAATTAAGAAGTTAAGCACTAATCAGTCCATAAAAGAACTACGTGTGAAACAAACAAACATCAAAGGATTGTAATGTAGTTTACAATGGTATTCAAAAAACACATTTCATAAATCAGTACAAAGGTATCACTATGGCAGTACACAATTGTGTGGCAGTACGATACAAGAGCAGTGATTATAGATAAAGACAATGACAGTAACAGTAATCCAGCTTGCAAATAGTCCTGGCATAGTATACAGATCACTCACTGCTGGTCTTCTGGTAACTTGCGATGTTATGTGAGTCACAGGAGCGTGCAAATACCTTGTTGTTAATGTGTCTACGCAATTTCCTGTGTGTTGTGTGGTGTATTGATACTAATTCAGGACGAATATCACATTGTGACAGAATATATTTATGTAGTGCCTCTCTTTCTCTTTTCTAGATTGTACAACCATGTACAGAAGGCCAGCAAGTTGCCTCCAGGCTGTGACTACTCCATGTTTAAGGTAATCACCGTTGACTTCAAGTACATGCCACATTGATCGCAAAAACAAAATTCATAAACTTCATTCTGGAACGTTTCTTTGATCCCAACCACAAAATCTTAGTTTTGTCAACATTTACCTTCTGTCTAGAGAATTGTTCTAATGTTTGCATTACAGCATAAAGACAACACTCAGTGCCATCAAGCATACACCTGGTATCATCAGCAAATTGTGCTAAGAGATATTCAATATTATCAGTTATTTCTGATCATATTACCCAGTATCTACACACATGATATGAAGAGGTATGGGGAGACAGGGTCTTCCTGCCGACAGCCCCTTGAAATTTTGAAGAAATCAGTGCCAAATCCATTTACCAGTATGCAAGTTTCAATGTCATTATAAAATGTTTTAACCCAATTTCAAATAGAACTTCCGAAATTAAAGAATTCAAGTGTTTTATCTAAGAATTTCAAGTCTACAGTATCGAAAGCCTTTTCAAAATCTATGGGTAATAGTAGTCCTAGTACCTGATAACTCTCTGTATAATCTATTAAGTCATAGACAAGTCTTGTAATTTCACCTATGTATCTTCCTGTCATAAATCCTTTTTGATCTTTGTTTATGATGCTGTCAAGAACAGTTTTTATTCTCTTGGAGATTGCCAAAGAACCAATATTTGTAGAAAATGGAAAGTAACAATATTGGTCTCCAGTTTTTGATATATTGTTTAGGCTTGTTTCCTTCTGGTATGCATGTAATCAAACCTCTTCTTAGTGATATTGGTAGCATGCCTTGCCTATATGACTCATTCAAACAACATACAAGATATTTGCCCAAATCTATCCTAAAGAATTTTCTGAATTCTGTTGTAAATCCATCAGGACCAGGGCTTTTTTCATTTTAAAGGGATTTAACAGGTAAAAGAACATTATTTTGTGTATGCTCCCCTTCAGCAGTTTTTGCCATTTCGTCTGATAGTTTATGAATTTCATATTCATTTTAAAGGTTACGCAGATCGACATCCGATACCTCATGTTTACGGTGTAATGTTTCATAAAATGACTTCGCTTCCTTTTCCATTTCCCGTTGGGTAGTAACTACATTTCCATTCTTGGTCTCAATACGCATAAAAGCCTTGTTGACGAAATTTCTTGCTTCAAGATTTAGGAAATATTTAGATGGCTTTTCACCACTTTCTCCCCATATTGCTCTAGATCTTATTATCATCCCCTTCGTAGCCCATTAGAGCACCCAAGATGTTAAATGAGAAGCTGGGCCAAATCATTGAACTGTAAAAGCTCAAAGTTCATCAGTCACAGATCAACAGCTAGGACTCGGGACAGAGACCCTGGGGAATGCCGAAAGAAGTACATTCCTGTGGGGATGGATTTCTGTCAGTCCTGTCAAAAGAAGAGGACACAGTGCACTGGGGAACCATCACACTAAACTCACTTTGGACGAGGCAGAAGAGGTACCAGAACAAGAAGTCATGCCGACTAAATTCTGACTCAACAGCAAATCATTTAGTTACTTTTGACACTATGGACCTGAACTTAATATGATTACTGATTTTGAACATTATGCCTACTCAAGGTCTATTGGGAAAATGTCTCGTGTCATATGCCCAGAACTGGAAGCAGATTCCATCTAGAAGGGAAAATAAGACTATAAGTCTTTTCTTGTCCCTATACCTAAAATCTTGGACATCGTTTTGCGTTTCAGGATGACAACATAAGAGCACATAGAGTTCATGTTCTTACTGAGTACCTCCATCAGAAGAACAGAACAACCTCATCATGGCCAGCATTCAGTCCCGACTCATCACCCATGATGTCCTTATATCCTTGGACAGCCTGTACATAACTGTCAACAATCTCCATCACCAGTTTCAATGAGCTTGGTGCTGCTCTGCAGGAGAAATTGGATGGAATGAGTTGACATTGGACATTTGATAAGGAGTGTGCCTTGTCAAATCCAGGATTGAGAATAGAGGCAGACTTTTTATGATGAATGGTGTGATGGACAGTAGGGTGCTTTGGCCAGTCATCTAACAAATCTATGGCTATTAGGCATTCAACGACAATTGTAAATATGTCGGTTAATATGTATCTCATGAAAGATGTAAATATCGATAGTTGTTAAACCTGTCCAATGAATTTCCCCTACCTTTTTTTAAATAGTATTTTCATGAGTTTCACTAGTGTTAAATATATGAGATCTGTATCACTTCTGGCTTTCATTCCATTTCAAGATGAAGTGATTATTGTTCCCCGCCGTTACAGGGAGCATTGTTTTCAGCAGCATCAGTACATGATATCTCATGAACTGTTGTAACCAATGTATTAACATTTGGTGACAGCCTACATCAAGGTCACCATAATACTTTGACCACTTTTCAAACGTGTAAATGCGATTTCTCGGAAAACATTGCGCCCAAGTTTAGACTCTGAGCTGCAGAATATATTGGCACTTCTTACAAATTTCATGTCAGGAATTAACATAACAAGTATCAGGGTAGGGTAGAGTAGGGTAATAGGTGGTTGGGTACCCGTGTGGAACATTTGGACCCGTCCAGCCCTAATACACACTGATACTGACAGTGGATATGAGCATCTGCATCTATACATTCAAATCTACTATATTCCTGAAATATCTTCAGAGTTAGGAGAAGATTCTGAGAAGTGACCATGACTAAAAACTACATCACACAAAATGTAATCTTCTACATGACCCAAAGATAAGAACTAGTAATATGTTATATTTCATTCTTCTTTAGTGGTGTTGGACATTGCCATGCTACTGGCAAACAGTTGTTTAAAGTGGCATTAAACCCACCTTGCTCACACACACATTGATTCTTTACACCATTACATCAAATTTGATATTCTAAATCTTTGCTTAATTTTTATTCTTACAGAGGCCCAGTTCCACACAAGTGCAATTCTCACATAACAGTTGCTTTTCAAATCTAATGAAAATGTATGTCGGGAACGTAACTTTGTGTCCTGGCTGTGACATAGTTTCCAAATATGAAATGCACTCATGTAGTCTCAATTGTGTGAAATCCTTTAGAGAGACTAGCTGCTTATCAATGCGAACAGAGACTTTACAGAAGTGATTGTCATTTGTTTACCCACTGTTACACATTCAGAGGAAATACAGTGCCATGGGTCTGTTAAATCTGTTAAGGACTAGCATGTGGTGTCCAGCATGACCATCATCACAAATGCAGCCACATTTGTTTTGAAGTGGAACATGTGTATTTGCAGGGGTAAACTTCATTGTTCTGTGTTTTTCTTTGTGATATTTTAAATTTTGATTGATATTTGACCTTTTCACAAGAAGCTGAAAGCTGAAAATTCATGTCTTCTTTTCTTAGGCCAGACCAATTTTATTTCTTGTTTTACGGGGTTTTGTCCTCAGAAAACCTAAAGGCAGGAGGGAAAAAAAATAAAAATAAAATCACCAGTCAAAGTAATATTCCTTCTAAATATTAAAAGTATTTTGCTTCTGGCAATTAATGAAGTATTTATGGGGCAAAAAAGAATTTCTTATAAGTTTACATTTTTGGCCAATAAAAACATAAGGATTTTATTTTTTGAGCAGGGAAAACTTTTTTCTTTTTTTTTTCTTATTCTTGGCGGATCAGTAAAACAAGAAATAAAATTGGTCTGGCCTAAAAGAAATGTGCAAATGCATAGTTAGTAATGGAGCTCATTACAGTGTTGCTTTTTGCAGTATTTTCTATTTTGACCTTTTTATTATGACTGTTCCTCACTTGTGTCAAACGTCATATTGGAGAGCCCTGTACTAGAGAAGCTGAACTTCATGATACCCAAGTGTTAAAGACATTCCATTTTCTGTGTCTGACTCAGTTTCCATGTTAAAAAGCTTCATTTTTCCTTATCCTGACTCATGCTCTTTTGCTTGTCTTCTTCTTCTTGCGAACACAGTGGAACACTTGTATCTCCTTATTTGAAGCTCCCTTCAAAATAAAATCTCTAATTGGTACTCACCACGAGTTGCTCCCCTTTGTTTCCCCTGGCGGGAAAGGCGTCGCCACCCTCTGGCCATGTGCTTCACTCTCTCCTTCTTCGCCCAGTGAGCAGGATGTGAGAACGCCTTGTGTCTCCTTACACACCATATCCTTTGATAATCTCTTAGTTTTTACCTCTCATAGGTTACTATAGAGGCATAGCTAGTATCCTTTACTATTTGTATTGATTAATTATCGTATTTCTACTGTTTATTCCGTGTATTAAGTGATTGTTCAGCTAGCTTTACGTTGATGAAAATCTGTGCGATTTGTAGATTACGTTTTTCTGCCTCCGATCCACATGTAATATGCCCTAGTTGTTCTACGCCGCCGTGTGCGTTTAATTCACGTTGCAGTTACTGCATTAATTTATCTCATTCTGCATTTAATAAATATCATCTTTAGCGTCTTAAGGCGTGCTGCAGATAGATCACGCAAACAAGGGCAAAACATGGCAGAGAGTCCAGATATTCCATCCAGTCAGCTGCTAGCGATCGACCCTCTCCGTCTGGTGTTCTGCTAGAGACCCATGCGGCAGAGGAACGTGGGACGCAGTCCGTTACCTCGAAGAAACGACCGGCCTCCCCAGACATCCCGTCATTGCAGACCAAGTCTAAGAGGGCCTCATCGTCGATCTCAACGCAGATTGAGGACACCCAGGGCAGCGCAGACTTCTAAAGGGAAATCTACGAAGACAGCAAGAACTTTCTCAGCCGAGATCGTTCCAGCAGCAGAATTGGGCCTCTACGATGATCAGCCGATAATCATCCCGACTTACGGCAGAAGAAGCGACCGGTGTCAGCGACTGTGACTTCTGCAGAGATCACCATGCAGCCTGATGCCTCTACACCGGCGTCAGGCGTCATTGATGTGAACCCCATCGCAGAAAAGACGCCGACGACTTCGTCTAGATCATCCCAGAAGACATGATGCGGCAGATTATGAACATCATGGAGGACCACTACAAACTGCGCGCAAGCAG